GAGTAGTGGTACCAAACATGCATCTTGAAGGATGAATTTGTCGCTCGGTCGTATGTCCATACCCCCTTCTCCCAAGCATCGATCAATTCATCAATCATAGGCTCCATGTACACACCCATATTACTCCCCGGGTGTCTAGGAATTATCAACGATAAGAGAAGACGTTATCTTGTTGAAAGGGAGATGCCGAGGGAGATTGAGAGGATAACAAACATAGGCCAACATGTGTGGGGCGGGATGCAAACATGCCCATAAGTGATTGAACTCATCTCTGCTGCCGCACGACAGTACGTTACATTACGTAGCCTCAGCTGCTTTGTCAGGATGTTTGTCATTAAAAAGTATGTCCATGCTTCGACATCGGACGGATGCACCATCCCATGGCTTGTACCGCATACCTTCTTTATGCCATGTCATCTGCTTAGCGAATTCCTCGGTCAGAAAAAGCCGTTGGATCCTCAGACAAATGGAAGGTGCCGTGGGACTTTCGCTCGAGGATCGTAAGTATGCCTCTTCTAGCCATCTCAGTCTACCTCCAGGTACCTGAGGATTTACACTTCGGACAAGACTTTTGCATCCTTGTGATCTTTCCCAATAAGACGCACCTTTTTGGACAAACATGTATCTTGTCATATGGCATCTTAAGCTTACGAAGTAGTTTCTGGACTCGTGCAAGTTCTTCGGTGAATGTTACTTCTCGGTAGCATGCCGCCAAACACGCCAACATCTTATCAAAGCCTTCGCGATTCAGATTTAATCTCGGCCTTCAACCCCATAACTTACGTCCAATGGCATCGAAGGTGAAAACCGTTATACTCTCATGAAGGGGTTTACATGCGAGTCAACATTGTGATGAAGGCCTTAATGACTTCCTCCATCTCCTCCTTCTCCGTCCCTTTCTCGCTGGCGAGCTTGGTGAGTGTCATCTAGCATGTCTGCTACTCGGCATCATCATCAAAAGCCTCGAGGCATGGTCTCACCACCTCCGCTCTTATACGATCTGCTTCACCATGGTGC